GGTGTGGGTAAGGTGGTCTTTGAGGGTGGTGAAGGCCGTCTGGCAGGCCTCCGTCCACTGATAGGGGTTCTTAGGGGAGGTGAGTTGGGTGAGGGGGCGTGCCACCTCGCTGAATCCCTTTACGAATCAGCGATAATAGGTGGCGAGCCCCAAGAATGAACTGATTTCCGTCAGGTTCCTTGCCCGTGGCCATTCCACTACGCCGCGCACCTTCTCCGGATCGGTGCACACTCCTGCCTCGCTTACTCGGTGTCCAAGGTACCCCACCTCGCGCTGCACAAGGTAACACTTACGCGGCTTGAGTTTGAGATGGGCTGCTCGCAATCGCTGGAACACCTCTCACAGCCTGGACCAGTGCTCAGACAGAGATCTACTGAACACTATCACGTCGTCCAGGTAAATCAGGCACTGTTCCCACTGCAAGCCCCGCATCACCAACTCCATCAACCACTGGAACGTCGTGGGCGCGTTAGTGAGTCCGAACGGAAGCACTCGAAACTCGAACAGTCCCATCGGGGTGGTAAATGCGGTTTTTGGCCGATCCTCCTCCGCCATCTCCACCTGCCAGTACCCGGACGCCAGATCGAGGGGGGAAAAATACCGTGCTCCTGCGAGGCTGTTAAAGGTGTCGTCGATGCGCGGTATGGGGAAGGCGTCGCCGAGGGTGACTGCATTCAGCTTTCGGTAATCAACACAGAACCGGGTTGACCCATCCTTCTTCGTCACTAGTACCACCGGGGCAGACCAGGGGCTCACCGAGGGCTGGATTATGTTATCACGTAGCATATCCGCGACAGCCTCCTTGATCTGGGTCCGTTCAGGCACGCCCACCCGGTATGTGGGAAGTTTGATAAGTCGGGCTTCACCTTTGTCAATTTGGTGTTAAACAAGGTCTGTCCGACCTACATCTGAATCGTGTTCACTGAACACGCATCATGCAGGGGAACGATCTCGGCCCGGGGGGTCGGGCCGACCCGCCAGGCCAGATCCTGGTTGTGTTCGGGGCGGCCATGGTCTTCCGCCCAGAGTGCGAACACCGAGTCGTTAGAGTGGCGCGCGTGCAGGGGGTGTATGGTAGCTACTGTGGTGCACCGTCGTAGCATCGCCGGGGTACTGTGTGGGTTAAACACCCACATGAACAGTCGCCCCCCATCTGCGTTTACCAGCGTGGCTGACCCTACGACTCCGTATCGCTCTGCCAACTCCGGTTGAGGGGTTAGCATTACCTCGCACGATGGTCGGTGTGTGGGGTCGGCGGAGGGGATTGCCACTGGCACCAGCATCTCGGCGAGCGGCCCGATGGTGACGGCCGATACCAGCGTAGCGGCTACGGGTATGAAGCGAGGGCGATTCGGCTCAGTTCCCAGGAACGGGATCCATTCCCCACTGCCCTCCACGGTGGTGCATCGCTGGCGGGGCTGCACGTTGAGCCCCAGCTTTTCCAGGAGGTTGGTACCTGCAATACACTCATGGCACAACACACGCGAGACATAGAATTCCTGTGTGCACACCTGGTTTCCGAGACGGACCTTGAGGGAGATCCTTCCCAGCAACCCCATCCCGGCTCTGCTCGCAGTGTGCAGCGCGCGATCCGGGGCCTGCAGGCGGCTCACGTCAACCCCGAGCACGCTGCAGTGCGCGGCGCTCACGAGTGAGGCTACAGCCCCCGTGTTCACCTGTCCTTCCACCAGCGATGTGGCCCCCGTGATTCCCGCCACCAGCTCCCGCAGCCAGTCGCCCGTGCTCACCGCGTCCCTGGGTGTTGTGGTCAGAACCTGCGTGGGGGTCACTCGCTCATCATTATTATCATCGTCGTTCTGCAAAGGGACCATGTTGACTGCACCCCTAGGTGGTCCATTCTCTAGGGGGCATTGGCGTTTAACCGTGGCGCGTTTATAGTGCGGGGGATCTGGGGACAGTCCCTCACGAGATGTCCTTGACGGTCGCACAGGTGACACGCTCGGGGGGCGGTCCCATAGGAGGCCCCCTGCCCATCCCTTCTTCCCCTTCCCGTACGCAGCTGTCCAAGGTCGGACTCTAACTGGGACACCCGTCCGGCCAGCCCCCCCACTGTGGAGTGTAGCTTCCCCATCTCGGACTGGATGGTTGTCATATTTTTATTCGCTTCCTCGCGTACATGGGTCATCCTATCACCTACTTGGGTCACCTGGCCGGCTATATCCTTTATGCCCGTCTGTATTCCCGCCACCCATCCCGGGGTTGTCTCGCGGGATACCGGAGGCTCCCTTTCCCGACCCCTTACCGTCCTTGGCCAGCTCCTGTTCTTCCTCTTCCTCCTCTGGGTACAGGCTCGAGATGGCCCACTCTCGTCCCAGCCCTCGAAGCTGCGCGCGCTCACTGGCCAGTTCCTCGCACTCGAGTGCGCGCTCGACGAGGGTATTAAAGGGGAGGCTCGTACCCCCCACTTTAGGCTGCCACCACGCGGTGCGGGCTAAATATCAGAGGATTTTGTCGGTGGCCAGCTCGTCAATCACCTCTGTTGCGAACTCTGGACGGGCGATCCGTGTTAGCGATCGCACGTCTTCAGCGTAATCGCGAAAATCCTCGACGGGTTGGTGGCGGCGCGCCTCTAAGGCCGTCTTGGCCTGTCTCACATTACGCTTGCCAAAACGCAGGTCGAGTTGGTGCATCAATTCTTCCAACTGGGTTTGGGTGCTTGCGGGTAGCGCCTCCACAAAATCCGCTGCACGCCCGTCTAGATTAATAGTGAGTTGTCGTAACACCTGTGCGTCCATCCAACCATTAATCTCTTTAGCCCTTATGATGTTACAGGCAAATGCCTTCCACGAAGGAGTCCCCCGGCCGGTGAATACATGCCTTAATTTTGCGTGGGTTAATGCGGGGGTTCGTACCGCTTCTGATGCCAAACTGTTGGGGCGAACGTCCCCCGCCATCACTGAATTGTCGGGGCCGTTGCCCACCGACTCCCCCATTCCATTCATACCGCCACCCCCTGGCTGCTCTGTGGGGTTTGGGCTAGCGACCTCCACTACCCCGCCCTCCTGTGCTGCTGACCGCGTCTGCATGTTTTAACCGATGGGTAGGGCGCGTCGCTTTACGCTCGCGGTGCGCTGCGGGGCGGCGTACCGCGATGAGCGCGCTCGCCCGTAAAAACTCCCTCTCACCCGTAAACAAACAGGCGCGGCGCGTGTTTCTCTCCCACCGCCGCTCCACGTGCTTCGGTAATAACAAACACGCCTCTACCCCCTGCCCAGCCCCGTACACCAATCGCACGCGAGGGGGTTGGGGTCGAGGGATGGGCGGGCGGGACGTTTGCCGTGCGCGCGCCGCTGATTGGGGAGGGTCGCCTAGTTCTGAGTTAAAGAGCCCGTTCGAACAGTCGCGCGAATACGCGCGCGCTGGGCACTTTAGCTCGCTACTTCGCGACTAGCAATCGCGCAGGCACGCGACCAAAACACCGTCGCACAGGCACACGAGCGCTAAACACCACCGAAAACAGTCGCTTAGGCACTCGCACGCTGAACAGCACACCCGTAAACAGCCGCGCAGGCACGCGCACGCTCAGCGTTCCGCCTCGATGTAAACAACCGTGCGTGCGCGCGATCACCAAGCAATCTTTACTCTCGTATCCGCTGCAAACTGCCGCGTATGCGCACGAGCGCAAAACAGTACTGTACACACTCGTACCGGTACGCGAACACCAAACACTCTGTCTCCCTCCTCGCACTCACAGTGACCATGACACAGCTTTATCCTCTATTAGCGGTTTTATTCCCCGCGAGTATCCCGCTAACTACGTGTGTCTGTGCGAGTCAGCAGGCCCTCTTAGCCTATTCCTCGAGGATCCCAGATTTAGCTTATCCTGCCTATAGCTCCGCTTTCTACCCTCGATTCAATAGCCCAAACTTACCTCTCCTCTACTTACGATTGCTTCCACTCTGCTGCGCTGAACGCTGTAGAAAGGCGATACTGTGAGTCGTCTCCGTAGAGGGTTGAGTCTAGCTGCGCTGGGCTCGTCGCACGGACGTCTCGAACGGCTGTCATTTGGATCCGTGCGCTCACCTATAATCAGGGGCATTCAATTCCTAATTCCATCTATAACAGGCATCTCGTGGTTCACACGCCCCGTGCCGCGTGTGTGTAATTTCGTCCGTGGTGGCTTTACGGCCTCCGCCGCGACTACGTGATTTTAATATCAGGTCACGGCGCCGCGGTTGATGTCAGCTACGGGGGGAGATCGCCCAAATTCCCGGCCGAAGGAAACCATGAAACTTAATCCCATTAGGGGCTTCTGGAAAAAAACCTATCGGCCAGGTGATCTCCCCTTCAGGCTCTACGTGGGGTGTGTGTGCGTTCGTGCGGGGGTGGGGGGGGGGGTGCGGCGCAGTGCGCCGCGTCGGCGTTGTCACCCCCCGGGGGTGGTGTCGCGGCGGTGGGCATGGTCCCCGATGGAGCTACTCCACCGTGGTGGCACCACACAGCCTCCTGAGGTGCCAGTCTCTGTCCTGGGTTGACTGGAGCACCTCGCCTGGGTTGCCCCTACGAGGTCCAACCCAGTCACCACATGCTGCTGTACACATGTATTGATGCACTGCACAGCACATCAGGACTTTCCCAGAACCACACTTTTCTCCCTTGTTGCACAAGGAAATAATGAAAAGAGTGGTCCATTCCTAATGTGCCACATGCACCTCCAGTCACGAGCCTCCCAGGAATCACCTGAGCCCAAAGGGCCGACTGAATCCGGGCACTCGAGTTTGGCCCTTCTTCCGCCCCCTGTTGACCCGGGGCCGGTACTACAGGCCAAGAGTCGTGGCGATCGCGCATCGCGCCCAACAATGCCACTACACATGGATTGATTTTATCGTTACTGGTGTTGGTGGTGAGTGGGAATCGAACTCCGGTGGCAGAGTTCGCAGCACAGCGCGCTAACAGCGACATGACAACACACAAGCACACAAAAGCATACACACACACTCACGTATGCACACGTGTACATATTAACACGGGGTAGTCAGCTTTTATTTAAGCAAGGCTGGGTTTATTTCAATGCAAATGAAAAAAACAATCCATCAGAACGCTGGGCTGCATTTGTAGAAAGAACCGTGTTTGCATTCTGTCCACCGCTGCCTTTCAGGTTACCAAGCCACGTCCAGCATTCTGACAGTAGTGTTGTTCAAGAGTGATCTGTGACTGGTATGTGTGAGTACGTGTACTACACTGAGGTGTTTATGCCATAGTGAATGGATGCATTGTGCCTCGAAGTTTGTTTCATTGCGCTATTTTCGATCATGGTGCCAGTACGTCGCACAGCACAGTACATCTGAAATGTTACTGAAATGCTTTGTACTAAAAGTACATTTCAATGGAGTCTTAGTGGTAGTGCTATTAGCAGTAGTGTCAAATACAGTAGTAATAGCTATAAATAGTAGCAGTAGTTTTTTTATTAGGCATGTAAAGATTACCCTCTGATTCAGTGAAATGTCACAATTCTCTCTATTATATTCAAGAACCTATTCCTTTTTTACGTCTTATTTGGAATGTATTTAATCTCATTTGTGCCATTAAATTTGCTCAGCAAAACGGTAATGTTTGCATATAATATGCAATACCATTTAAATGACAGATTATTGCACGGCCAATTGTCGGCACGAATGAGAGAGTGCGAATTAATTTTAATGAATTAATTCATCATTACATGCCTAATACTTAGTAGTAGGGTTGACATTGGTCATGATGATTAAGACGCAAGGAGTGGAAGCCTAACAAACTAAGAGCATTTTATTCTCATTCTACGTGACTTTACCGAAAGAACCAAAGAAGATAAGAGCAACCCTTTCACCCCACAGGCATGTCCTTGGAGTTCACTTTTTCAGCTTCAGCTTCTCCTTCTGCTTGTCAGAGTCCTTCTTGTAGAATTCAGAGAACTCTGGCATGGGAGAGAAATGTAATTTCAAATTGATGGCATACGTACAGGTTTCCGTCGCTTTCTGACGTAAATGTGTTCCCAAAGAGGGTGGACAAAGCTAAATTGTGTAGCGGAGACACATAACTCACAATGGACCGCAGGAGACAGCTGCCTGTCGAGGAGTGCAGAGGTAGACACAATGTCGCACGTCCAACCACATAGCCGCATTTCAATGAATTCAAACCGCACATCGCAAATTTTGGGTATAAAATGTTAGCCGCATATACTGTACACGAAATCACATAAACTGAACCCGAATGAAGCAAGGGAAACCCCTAATTTATAACAAAAAGTGCCCATCACTGATCGATGCCCACATCCAACCGGAATACCTAAAATGACCCCACCCTATCTGAATGGACTGAAAATGTTACACACATTAACTTACTTCTAAAGTACAGTATAGAATTTAGTAAAATTTAAAGGACTTTGTTTTGGTCGAGCAACCTATTTGTGCAAGGCCAAACTCTAATTTTATTTAGATGTTCACTTATCCGACCTTGTTACATAACCACCTATACTTCAGTTCCCATGAAGACGGGTATACGGTTTTGTGCTGTATCGTTGGTAGAAGAGAATGAAACAAAACAATCTGTAAAATAACCAGAATTTGACCTTGAATTTCCTTAGAATGCTGTGGTTACGTGCTAAATTTAAAATGAGAATCTAAAAAACACAATTTTCACTTGAATGTAAATTACAATGTGATGAATTTCATAACTACAGATTGTCAAATGGCAGTAGTGCAATGGATTCTCAAATGTTTGTGCACATTTTACTGCTATTCTCTTGTATAAGCGTGATTTCTGTGGATGCTCCAATTTCCTCCCACAAGTGAAACAAGAATTTATATAATTGGGAAGACGTTCCAGTTCAGGAGAGAGTGTGGAAGCTTTTCTATGTAAATACGTGTCATCTTTGTTCATATAGCAATGCCTTTCCCTTGGCTTTGTCCTCTCTATCTTCCGTGGGTCCGATTATCCCCAGTGTAGCCCTTTAGCATCAGCAAGGTAGAGCATTTATCATGGTCGCAACAAAGGCAGATGTCATTATGACTCACGGACTATATAATGCCCTCCTGAGTTTGTGTATGCTCCTTTTAAACAAGGTAATGGCCCTGTTCCATGATCTTCCCTAGACCATGGTCACCCACCTTCGAAAGAGATCTTGCCATCTTTGTTTGTGTCCACACTGCTGCAGTCTTGATCAACACCGTTCATTTCCAAGAAGTCCCGGTAGTCGTTAAACGAAATGAAGCCGTCGTTGTCCTGTTTCCGCAGAATAAGGAGGAGACATTGCCTTGCTCGTTAATGGCAGCATTGTGAGTGCTGGTGCAAATTAATGGGAAGGTGGCTAGTGGTCAAGACAAGCAACAGATTCACATCCAAGGAAGGAAGCGCGTTTGTGATCTACCACGAATATGGTTGTGATGGAATTAGCTTGTGTGCTGTTGATTGGTGGATTAGTATATCGCATAACTGCGAGTGATGACTTTTACGTTGATGTCCCCATGTTTACGCTCACCACCTTCAACTCAAAATTATCAGTGTGGTGAAGTATGGTCAAATAACCCACAATCCGCAAGGCATGAGGAGGATCTCATCCAGCAGTGGACTGAATTAAGGTTTGTACATGTACCACTCATGCACGGAAATAGTCAATCACGTCAGGAGCCTGCTGGAAACTTCTTGAGACGTCAGACTTTGGGAATGAATAATTGGTCTTATGATCATCATTATATCAGCTGGTACAGAGGTGAGTGCTGGCTCTGATCAGGGGTACAAGTCTCACAGTAGCTGAAGGATCCCACAGGCTTGTGAGCGCCATGATCTAGCGATACACGACAGGAAGCATGGACTTGCTGTGTGGAAATCGCACCTCTTAGAGGCTGCATTTCAAGTGCCTCAGGTAAACACGAGGGAGATGAACTGAGACACCAATCTCGTGTCCAGGTGCCATGGCTTGGGCACGAGAAGAGTGAGTAGCTTCAGTCTTTAATGCTCATAGAGCAGCAGAGCTAAACACGACACATAAGTGCAATAGTGCTCGTCCATTGGGGGCTCTAAGCATTTACGTTCCCTCTCTTTCAATTCGTAAACTCCCAAGTAAGATAACACAGGATGTAGACAAGTGAAACATGACATGTAGCAAGATAAGACAGAGTGGACAAAGTACATAGGTTTAATGAAATGCAAGAAGAGGATACAGATGCAACTGCCTTCACTCACCACGTCAATTGCTTCGAAATTAGCGTGCGCCTGTGATTCCCAGTCCTGTTTTCAAAACAAATCACAAACAAAACTTTTATAATCTTATCATACGGAGCTGCGTCACTGCATCTTGGTCATTGTGCGAAGTCAAAGTTTGAAAGGATTTTATTTGAAGAGACAAACAGATGTATATTTATTTATTTCAGAATACTTCACAATAGAGTAGAATGTCTAGAGCCATGAACTGCAGCGATCCATTTTACATTGCATCCTTGGCTAATCGTGTGCTTTGATCGTAGCTTATGACGATGCAAATAATCAACAAGCCATTAGCAAATTTTGATTTAAAGCTTTCGTGACTGCAGTAATTCATATTCTTAGTTTTTTCGGTAAAGTCACGTTGAAGAGAAACAACAAAATAACAAAATATATATTATGCAAACCGACACACCTGATGATGACCGTTTGAGTTATGGTCGAAACGTCGTGAGAATTTTTTATTGTTTTATATATATTTTGTTATTTTGTTGTTTCTCTTCAACGTGACTTTACCGAAAAAACTAAGAATAAGCCATTAGCAAATTAAACAACTATTCTACGTTCATCTGCACTGGATTCAATTATCGATTCCATGACTAGCATATGGATATCAGTTTCCAAAGCCGATTTTTTTTATTCATGGATAATTGTTTAACCTTAATAGGTAACAGAAAATTATCTTTAGCGTCATTGAGAACATATGTCCCTCCACATAAAATATATAGAATGTTATTATACGAATATATATTTTTCCTATTTAATAGGTGCTCACTAACGAAACGTTCGGTATCAGTGTGTGAGAGGCAATGCCAGGCATCTTTGTCGTGATGGTGCAATGAGTGTATTCCCTACCATGGCTGAAGTCGTTGGTGATCCGTGAGCAACTGGAAGGTCGAATCTGGAGCCGATGATGTGAGCATCGCAGCGATGCGCGCACTTTTATTTGCGAGCACCCAGGTGAGGGTGGGGCTCTCCAGGTGCGTGGGGCTGGGGAGGGGTGGGGGCGGTCGTGGGGTTGGGGTGGTACGTGTGCATGTTTACATGTGGCTGGGAGAGGTGACACTGGGGGAGCCAAGGTGGTGCATCTGCCAATCTTCTCGAATATTCAACCCACGGCACATGGATGGATCTGTCCCGTGACCTGCCAGCGAGCCTTTGACACTTCACGTGGCCTCAATGTGCACGTACCTGACACTTATGTATGCTGTGCTCTTCCTTTACTCTCAATAACAAAACACCCCTAGTTATATTTTGATTTAAAGCTTTCGTGACTGCAGGGATTCACGTAGAATGGAAACAATAAAATAATTAAAATATAAAACAATAAAAAAATGTATTGTTACTCATGTGTGTGCTTATGTAATAATGCACTGTTTGGGGAAACACATGTAATTTATATTCATGTTGAAAAGGGTTCCTGCATGGAGAATGTTTGGACAATTGTATTAATGAGTGTTCGGCTTGGGCTAGAAAATGTGATAACCAGGAGAAAACCCATCACACATAATAAAGATATAACACACAAAGCTCTGCATATATGGATTCAGTCCTTTGTTATACTTCAATATCCTGTCAAAATCACTTGTTTTCCTGTCCTTCGATCCTCCCACGTCCATGCTTCACGCTTTTTACAATCAACCCGCAAAAACCAGGATAGTGAAGTATGGCCAACTAAGGGGATGTTGTGTGAGATTAAGAATAGCCTGTTTCCTTGGTGTGTGTGCGAGTCAGTTCATTGGTTGAGTATCAACAACACATAAGGTTGATGTTTGCATTGAATCTTGAATAAATCACGCTCAGGCTTCCAGAAAATTAAAAAAGATCTGATGAATTAATGAGCATAATTTTAATGTTGCTGATTTAAGGAAGCATTAATCATTTGTGCCTTCTAGAAGATTACTTTGCAATGACAGCAAACGCTTTCAGCGCTCGAATTCGTCATGGCAGAAAGCTACCAGAATATTCTTTCAAGCTATGAATAAAAAAATGCATCGTCAACACTGTGTGCTCATTAACCTATGCACAGTACGGATATGATGTTCTCCATTAACACTCGGTCTACCACGTGCATTGTCTGATGGTGGTCAATTTACACTACCTTTTATTAAACGTTGTTCTTAATACATTTAATACATGCCATTTGTAATACGAATCATTTTATATAAAATATATGTGTCATATTCAGGAAAATGTATACTATTTGGTTCTTTCGGTAGTCACGTAGATATCAAATAAAATAAATTAAATCACGACGTTGCGGGCGCAACACAAGCGTCCGTCATCAGGTGGGCCAACCACAGCAAGAAACAATTGTTTAAGTGGGCAGGAAAATGTATGTAAGAAATCTACACTGCAAGGTCACAACAAGACCACGTGGTACAAATAAGGCAGTTGGTGGACTCTTGGAGTCGTAAGTTGTCCACGTGTTCTGCTCGTGGACTCTTTTTTCCCCTTGATATTAAAAATACATCGCTGTGAATACTTTTTTGTAATATATTTTTTGATCCTTCCACCTACAAATGCATTGTGTAAATATGTATTTAACTCACGAATCTCTTTAGCCTTCCACATCCAGTCAACCTGAAGCGTTCCACCTCTGCTTATAGTGATGAAGAGGGACTCAATTTTTAAGTAGTTTTTTCTTAAATATATATGTTGAACTTTGTTTGCACTGTATGCAGCCAGACGTGCTAATCGAATGTGCAGGGGGACAATAAATAAAAACAACAAAAAGCAGTTTTAAAGAAATAAGTTTTCAATCGAGATTTAAAAGTGCACATCTCCAGTGGCTTCCTGATATCGGAAGAAAGAGCGCTCCAGATGGTTGCAGAAGTGCATCTGAAATCGAGCGATGCAATGACCGTCTGTGGTCAATGGCTAGATAAAATCCGCTGCAAGGATGATGGGAGTTCCCGTGATGGTTTACGTTCCATGACGAGATCAGCAAGGTATTGTTTCATTTGTGGCAAGTACTTTGTGTGTAACGATTTCGACCTTATGAAGTTGAGTGTCTTCCTTTTGACATGTTTAAACACATGACATGCAAGCCACCAACTTTTATTCATCAAATAAAAGTGTGTGCATTGAAAGACTGGCTTTTTACCTCATTTGTATATTATTCCTTTGATGGAGAGAAGATTAAAGTGGTTTACTTAATGATCCATATTGTGTGTTGCATGGCCATACTCTCACTGTGGCTTGTCTTTCATTTTAAATGAAATTGTAATGGATCAGCTAGTTGCAGGACCTATATTCTTACGTAACTAAAAAGGCAAGTATTAATAAATACACAAATACTTTACACGGAAGTTTTCTTATTGGATGGCAGTTTGGGAAAAAAAGTCTTATTTTCAATTATATATCAGCCACATTTTTACGCAAAAGTATGTTAAATTTGATTTAAAGCTTTAGTGACTGTAGGGATTCATATTCTTGGTTCTTTCGGTAAAGTCGCGTAGAAGGGAAACAATAAAATAAAAATATAAAACAAAATTCTCACGACGTTTCGACTGCAACACAAGCAATCATCAGATGATGATTTTAGTCGTGAGAATTTTGTTTTATATTTTTATTATTTTATTGTTTCCCTTCTACGTGACTTTACCGAAAGAACCAATAATACAAAAGTATGTTGTGTTTATTTCAGTTGAGCAATCACATCTGTATTGTACACCACAGCATCGACTTCATTATTTTAGGGTCATGATCATTGACATTAAGTATTTTCCATCGTCTGATAGATGTTACATCAACTTTTCTTTATTATTTTCTAGATTCAGGATTTGCATTTATATCAGTATCATCAATGATCGATCAGCTGATGATTGAAGGTTTTCCTAAATATATAATAGCACTGAAATAATAAATAAAAACTGAAAGGCACTGATGCATTGGATAATGATTGCTTGTTGTAGCCGACACATTGTACCCATTTGATATCACGTTTATTAAAACCAAAGCTGCTTGTGACTGAGCTGTTGTTCAGGCTGAACATCCATAGTGGGTGGTCAAATCACATGACCTCACTTTCCCATGTCGGTCGTTGCGAGTTTGTGAAGATTGCAACTGAAAAAAAGTGCACCAATCTCACAGATTATCCCATAACTTATGCCAAAATTTTAACATGCTAAATGAATGCATTGCCACAAATATCGCTGAAACTACAGATTACTTCGTTAATAAATTTGCAACTTTATACATGTATGTTGAACTTCTTTCACACCGTACATCGCCCACCGTGATATACAGTATATCAGCCACAGATTAATTCATCCATTAGAATTTAATCATAATTCAAACATATGCTCCTGACAACAAGCCAAACAGTTTCTGTTTGCATTATATCTCCATTAAACATGCTTGGGCTTGAATCGTTCAAACATCTCATGAAGACTGGTGAGTGTGCATAAAACACTTTCTGGGAATTAATACTTGTTAATATCAATACAATGACTGAACACTACAGCATCATAACATTGTCTTAGATAACATGAAACTCAACAATAGATCCTGGATGGACCAGACACCTACATTAGTACTGAATAGCTATACAAGAGAATAAGCTACTGTGTTAAGGGCACATCGTGTAATCACCATACTGCATCTTAAATGTACAGCGCTACACATAACACTGAACTGTGGATGAGATATTTCGTCATCCTTGCTCTCAAGATCGCAATAACGTTACATGGGTACAAGTCTGACTCGATTACAAGTAACATTCACAATAAGGCAAGTGGCAGGCTTTGTTGTTAACTAGGCCTCATATTTATCATAACAGCATTATAAAGGCATTTACAGCATTATGGCGTTCATTCTAACATTATGACAGCATTCCCAGTATTATAAGAACATAAACAAACTTACAGACAATGCTTCTTAAAGTCCCACAATGAACCGATGCAACTGTCTTCACGGAGACGTTATTCGTGCCTCCATTTTGTACTCTGTGTAATGGCTGACACCCTGCCGCGTGGCTGAGAGGGAATCTTAAATCGTCACTTCCTGGTCACGTGACCAAACAC